GTGTGTGTGTGCCGATATATCAGTGTCGCCGTTTGGTTGATTAGCAAAGGAGAACAGATTTAATTTTTAAGACTTCAAAAACAATTTCATAAATTTAGTCAGCTTTTAGTCAGCTTAAAAACATTGTCACTTAAACATAATGGAAATGTTAAAATAAAATCGGTTTCTGTTGTGCTTTTAAAAGCGTAACACATTTGCTTTGATAAAAACAAACAAACAAAAAAAAAAAAAATAGAACCCCCTTTTTATTGGTGTTGTTGAAACTTCAATTTATCACAATTAAAGACAACTTTAAACTAAATGAAAAAAAATAAGATTAATCTAGTTCAATTTTTTTTTCTCCTTTTCTTTCAATTCTTATTTAGAACTCAATTTAGATAGAAAAACACAAAAAAAAAAGATTCTTGCTTTTATCTTTTAAAAATAAACATGTGTATTTTCAATTAACCACATTTTTTGCAGTTCATCGATTTATTTGTCTTTTCACACCACTAATACCGGCCGGAAACAAAAGCCTGTTAACAAATTTGGTACAGAATAATACTGGAAAGATGCTGCAAATGATACCTAATTATAGCATTAATTGTTTCTTCTTTTTTTTCCACTTTTTGCCTCTTTTTTGTAATTAGTAAAAAAGAAGCAAGAAAAAATTTATTCATAAAGAAAAAAAATGTCAAATTAAATGTAAAAGCTGAGAATAACGCGCAAACAACCTTATATTTACAGTTTGTATCAAAGCCTTATGATATAGCATTTAAAAAATAGAAAAAAATAAAAATGAATATTAGAGATTACTGGTGTACAAATTGCACAACAAAAAGCATTTTCAAAGGTGCCAAAACAGTTTGCTTTTTCCACTCACTTTTCTTCATCAAAGATAAACGACAGTGATTAAGAAATACGCAATTAGCGGCAACTGAAAGTGACTAAACAATTGTGTTTCTCAAATTCCTCTTTATAAAAAGTAAAAAAAAAAAGAATGAATAAAAGAAAAAGGAATGAAAATGTGAACGTAACCATTACTTTTGCGTTAACATTCTTTAGCTGACCGGTCAAAACGACTGTACAGATTTGAAGCAACAATGAATAGTTGAGTATCCAACACACAGAATTCACTAATTAAATGATCGCCTAATTATTACCTTTTTAATGGCACAGTGGTGTTTGAAAGCTGTCCGGCGGAATGAGTGTAAAGTCAAGACCATTACCATCCTCATACGTATTGGTCCAGTCTTGTCGATACGGTACTGTTCAAAGGATCCGCATCCAATTAAAGGCATTTTTCGTCCATTGGCTTCTAAAGATCCGCCGAGTTGTTGTCGGTCATGACCTTCTGTCTCGAGTTCTAAACATCCTTTCTTTCCTGCTCCTGTAATTTCATATAAAAATTTTAAATAATGACCTATTATAATTATCCCATTTACGCTTTGTCCACTGGTAATAACTTTCCAAGTACTTCTTCAATTACTCTATTAAAAATATTTAACCCTGTCAATGAACAATTCGCTAACCAGTTTCCACCAATATTGCTCAAAACTTTATAACACTTTCTAATTTTACTTTTGAAAAGAAAATTTATAAAAAATTTTTAAAATTTGTTGTAGACTGAATCAAAACTAGAATTTCCAATCTACAGTTAGTAGCAAACAACTATATCTTCCAACAAGGCTAATAAATTCAACTAATTTTCACTTCTAAAACTCGATTTTTTTTTTCAAAACATCCAATCAGATGTATGAGTAATCATACTGTACCTCAGTAACAGCTAGAATGACTCAATTTTTTTTTTCATTGAATACTCATTAAAAGTAGCAGCTATAACGTTAAATGCTATATTTAAATCAATGAAAATAATTCCGGTACAATAAAAACAGACAAAAAGACTTAAAACGTAGCATCCTTATCTGGCAACAGATGTAGAAAACAATTTTGAAAATTGGTTCACGGCGCGCAACTACACCTAACATCTGTGATGCATCAATAAAGTTTTTCAAGCAATTACGATGATGTAAACGATCATCGCGCAACCTTTGTTACCGATATTGAAATGATAAAAAATTAAATGCTTTTGTCCGGTGAAAAATCAACTGATAAACTAAGTCAGAGAACCGATTAACCTAGCTCAGCTACAGCAATAATTTAAGCAAAATAAATTGAAAAGGACCGGCAGTTACAATCCAACTGCTCTCCTGCACAACATATATCAAACAAATAACTGGCGATCTGCCACAAAAAAACAATTCACGTAATTTTAATTCATTAGAACCATTGTAGAAAAGCCGACCATATAGCTAATCATCGTTTATTATGTTCAAAAACACACTGGCGAAAAAACAGTCAAATGCAGGTCTAAAATTGCAAATACTTCGACAGATACAAATGCAAATCAAGAAACAATCAAGACTCAACAAGCTTGCCAAAAATTTGTAACTCACAAAAGCAGCCTAATCTTAAAGCAGAATGCTTGCCATTGTTAACCTTTTTCAAGAAAAAAAACTGCAAAAAACTAACACCGATCACAAAATGTTAAGGAACAATTTAACTCCTTATCAAACCCAGAAAACTCAATACACCTCTCTAGAAAACGCTTGTTCGACATTTAAAGAGCCAAAAACTATGATGGCTCTACCTAAAACGCAGATTTACAAACTAAGAAAATCTTTATAGTTACTGCTCATCAACAATTACCTACTTTTCTGCCTTTTTACTGGTTCGAGACTTGTTTCCCAAACTTTAAATTTAAAACAGTAAAGTACTTTTAAATATTTAATCAGGTTTTGTAATCAAAACCTTATTATAACCCTCAAACCACCACCATTTACTACAGTTCCAGAAAATCAATAAAAAATGCCACATACTCCTTACCTATAACAGAACTTCTGATATCAACAGTGTCTAATTAAAGAACCAAATCTAAATGGCCACATGGTATAAGCAGCAACATGTAAAGCTCCATTGATAATTACATCATTCAAGGCACTGCCATTACCTTCCCCAGGAATGGTGAAGAAATCATTGAGCTGCGAGGTTTTATCCTCGAGAAAAAAGAAATGAAAGCATACATGACTCCAAAAACTTTTTCCAGAGAAAAAAGCTTCCTCAACAAAGCATGATAAGAGAAAGAAAAATAGTCCATTGTCGAAAAGTCACTCCCAATTAAAAATGACTTTTTTCCGGAATTTCTCATTGCTCAAACTCAGTGATTGATGTAGCAAAAGATGCAAAATGATTTATTGCAAACGTTAATAAGGCAGTTCAGGCAAAATTTGCATAAATAACTGCTATTAGCTGTGCTAAACCTATCAGACCTTTTAAAATGATATGAATGTGTCGTATCAGCCAATTTCTTTCTAAAACAGCGCAACAGCAAAAAATTCAAGCAAAAAATTTTGCATGAAATCTTGTTGATTTTCAAAAAATAAATTTCTAAGTGAAAAAAAAAGTTTTAAAAAAAAATCCGAAAAAAATCTGGATTCAAACAGCTTTGCATACCTACAATAAATTTAAAAGTGTCAGTGACTCTATTTTTCCCATATTGGTAATATAAAAACAACAGAAAAAAACAAAAAGGAATTGGAAAAAAATGAACTTTAAAAAAGTCCACGAGAACAGAGCGTGAAATGATTCTGCCTTCAAAGATTAACAACCTTAACAAAGCTTTCAACTTTAATTCCTTTTTATTAAAGTATGAATCAAAAATTCTATTCGAAACCAAAAAATTTTTCTGAATATTCAGTCTTCCTTATTTCCTAGCAGCACAAATCCGCACCGTTAATAACTTAATTTAGTCCATCTTTTTTAAACACAACAGACTACTACTATGTAAATGAATCAAAATTGAAACATAGACTGGAAGATGACTAGTCTCTTTTTTGAAGACCAAAACAATTATATGTTACACATTAGCAAGCATATACAAAACTCTAATAACACAAAACTTTTTCGACGATCCAAAAATTATCAAACATTCCTAAAAGAAAAATAGTGAGGAACAATCAAAAACCTCACAATGCCAAGAAATTACCAAATATATTTTGCACACCACATTCCAAGCATCAAAACTGTCAACGAATACCTGAAATTTAAATTGAAATTCAAACCGATAAAGATGTTAACCAAAACCCATAAAATAACCAGAAAGAAAACCAAATAATGCTAAAAAATACCAGGTAATGATATAGGATAAATGATTGTTCCTCGGCTCATAGCTCACAATCCCTGCAATAGGTCCATTAGCTACGGAAAGACCTGAAATAATTAAACGGTAAAAGAGCAAAATAGAAACTCAAAACGTGCCCCACAAATTCCGCGGTACCTACACATACTCAATCATGAAAGGGTTCTCAAGAATATACCTCACAAAAAAGTATATATCATAATATTACTCTTAAAAAACAAAAATCGAGCTTCATAACAGATTGTCGGAAAAAGTTTACGCAAATTATCTTAACACTTTATTTAATCAGAATTAAAACGTAACAGTAGGATCACTTATCACCTAGAACTGAAATAAAATTCTCAAAAAAATTAAAAAATATGAGCATATTTAAAGTTAAAGTAAAAAACATGCATATAATTAGAACAAAACCCACTTTCGCTCGCGTCAATAATTACTGGCTCTGCACCTAACAACTCCGCGATTTCATTAGTCCCCTTTACCTGCCACGGAACATTTTCACTTTTCCACTCCAAATTTTCTTGTAATTTTAGTAACCAACGTTTCTGTAACGTCTTTTCTTCAGGCAAGAAAAAACAAAATGCAAAAGAACAAGCAATCAATCTAATTATGATCTACTTCTGAGATACTGAAGATCCGAATTATAATAGTTTATTCAAAAAATTCTCTAAGTAATTTTTGGAAAACTGAAGGTCTCTGAGAAGAAGAAAAGTTGAAACGTCAATGCAAGAAATAAGGAGAAGCGAAAACGATAAAACAAGGCTTATATATTTCAATTTGAAGATATCAGATAGATTCCGTAAAATCCAGGTGTTTACAAAAATTAACTGCTGTATATAAAATCAAGCACCTTTTCAGTAGGAGCAACGCGACCTTCAAAAACCAATTCCCCATTCATATTGCTTTTTAATCGGTCTTTTGGATCTAACTGAGAATCCGATATCCATCCACGGTTGACCAAAATTTTTTTCCTGAAAAATGATGTGTTTTGACATGAAGTTTCGACAAACAACTTGAGGCACAACTCAGCTGTAGCACAACGAATAAATACGGAAAGTAAATATCAATAGTGCATAAAAATGTTGTTATTCAGAATGTTAAGAATTCAATTCTTCAGAAGAAAGAAGACGAAATGTACCCAGCGATCCGACTGGCTAAATAATCTTCTATGCAAGTTTCCTCTTCAAGCGCTGACAAATTCATTGGAAATTCTAACAAACGAATATTAGAACAAAATACTGACTACCAGTGTCACCAAAAAATATAAGGTGCAAAACGAATTACTTAAAGTTGACAAAGGTTAGAACCACTAACCCGGAACGGGAGAGAGTAAATGGCGTAAACACAAAATAGCCACCCTCACTCTGTTTGTAAAGACCAGCCAAACCCTCCTGGGAAACTAAAGTATGTTGCCATGAATGAGAAGTATCTAAGCAGAAAAAGAGTAAACAAGTCAAAAAGTACATCACCTGCTTCCTGCTTAGTTTTAATAACCAATTCTTTATCGTAGGAGAATGTCCCCTTCAATCGTACCTTCCTATATTTGAGGTCTTCAACTTCACTGAGACTGCAATCTTAATTATAAAAACTTAAAAAGCGCTGAAGAATGAAAAAAAAAGTTTGATCCCGAGCCAGAAGGAAGAGGTGGTATGTTACTAAGGTGAGAATAAAAAAAACTGCAGTATCAAATTTATCCTAAAAGCTAATAACATAGCGCTAAAAAAATTTTTTTTTGATAGTTCATAAAATTTTCTTCATCTTTCTTACCCACAAGTTTCACTCGAAAGAAAACTATTAGAGAGACGAAACAGAGAAAAAGGAGCTGTTTTACTTCTCACGCTACAAAAAAAAAAGTATGATTAAAACAGCTTTCCACTCAAGTTTCAAATTTAAAAAACCCTTAAAAAAATTTAATTCAGGAAAACACACTTGTCCTCTGGAAAGTCTATTGCCTTCTGTTTCAAACGATTATGCAAATCACTGATAAGATTCTCTTTCCATTTCAAACGACGAACCTGCCAGCACCCCAGACAGAACGTAGTTGCTGGAAGAACCTAAAATTAACCTGCAATTACATCTAAATAAATATTTCCAGCTCATTCGTTTCTGACTTACTGCAGATGCACATAATCCAAACCAGTTTTTACAAAAAACAGTCGCTAAAACACAGTATCAAACAGTACTAAGAGCAATTATTCTTAAAGCTAACCCTAACGTCTACTGTTAAGAAAAATTAAGCTATTTGAAGCGTTTAAAAAGACCACTAACAAGAACTGACACTGAGGACCACGACCAGTGAATTCTTTTTCTGTTCTTTTGTTTCTCTTCGCTTCTTCGTTCGGTTGCAAGCTAAAAAAATATTTTTTCAATGATGCATTCTTTAAAACAAATGTTTCTCAGAAATTTAGACGATGTGTACCATTTATACGGGACTAAACCAACGATGGAACAAAAACCTCAAGCAAAGGTTATAGGGAAATCGAGTATTATGCCACAAAAAAGCTTAATTAATTCAAAGAATGGTTGAGTTTACAAAGACTAATTAATCATTATTACTGTTTTTCTTACTTAAAATTCGAAAAGCTGCATGATTAGTCGAACAGTGAAGAAAGCATATTTTTAAAACAAATATAAAAGAAAATAACCTGTTACACAGGTTATTTACAAGATCTTTACCTGAGTCAGAGAAGTTTCGTACAATGCATCATCTTCCCGTATTTTCCTCTTCTTCTTAGCTCCAAACGTTACCTTCAAACTGCTCATTGACCTTGCTGCCTGCTTTTGAAAATACCCTCGCGCAAACAAACATGGCTGCATTGTGAAACACTAGCAACCAGCTTTCTGAAAGCAAGAAAAAACGAAACCGAGTGCGGTTGCAGTCGAAAACTCTGATTTCTTTACAGTTAACGCCCATAAAATGCCAATAACGATAGCCGGAAAACAAGAACGGCACAAAAAAACACTCTTTTACGCCGCTTCACCCATCAAAGTAAAGGCCAGAAAACACCCCATAACCATCAACAGCCCCAAAAAGCTGGCAAGTCGGATGCAAATCTTAAAAATAAATATGAATTTTTCGTTTCGAGACTCCAGCAACACAGACGGCATCTTGCCGACCCGCAGCAGTCGCACCTTTGGCCAATACTCAGCACGGTTACCCAGGATCTTCCCATAATTGGATGAGACTGCTTTACTCCGTGACTGTATTTTGACCATTTGTCTCCTTTCCGATAACCGAAGCATATGTATTTTGATTTCCTGAACTGTTGAAGAACTAAAGCGATCCTGTTTGGGAACGTGACATAACAAAGGTTTGTAACGTCTATTTACATTTAGAAGTGTTTGACAAATTTCCATTTATTGTATAAACCATAACTGATTACGTCGGCGGCACTTGAATACAGTTACAGCATTTACACCATTTAGAAATCTTGAGTTCTAGACTAAAAAGTACACGCGGGTTTTCACCGATTGCTTAATAAGATCAAGAATGGAAAAGAGAAACAGAACAAAAACTTGCTCATTCTTTTAAGTCTTAAAACACTGAGAGTAAAAGAAAATGTTGCCATTACTCAGCTCAACAATCATATTTCAAAAATTGAAAGAACTATGACAATAAGGCATCTGATAAAGCAAGATTCGCCTCTTTTCTTTTGTACAACATGAGATCAACGAACTAGATTTGCAGGAATGGCTCACAGTCTTATATCACTTAATTGAAAGTCTTCATGAATATCACAATGATATACATAGATATACATTATTCATTAATTTTGTACACTACAACAATATTTACCAATTTCTTTGACATAATTTCCCGGGAATAATCCAGTTCGATTTTTTATCTTCCCGCGCCACCAACCGGAGGGATCTACAAATAATCAATGTAATGAAAGAAATTTCCTGCTAAGAAGTGGCAAATTCAAATATATCTGAAAATTGGTAATGTCATATCGATGTCGACCTTTATCGATCAACTCGAATTTGTCACCAACAACAAATGACAGTTCGTCGGTGTCTTGGGCATCGTAAGAGTACAAGGCTTCGACAAGGGGTACGGGTTTCGGTTTCAGCGGGGGTCGGGGAAGAGGGGCAGGTCTTTTTGGTCGTATCTGAAGCTTTTCCAGTAACTGAGTTCATCTAGCCCTAGAAGTGAAATTACCAAAAATAGTCTTTGTAAATAGACTGACCTTGGACTGATGACTTCTCACTGCACCATTTTGTGAAGTTTTTGTTCCGCCATCTGGAGCATGAGAGGACGGACCTGAAGTACATCAGTCTTGCAGTAAAAAATGACTATTGACAAAGATGAACAAAATAAATGAAAAAGGAGCTCTGTAATTAAGCAGAAAGACAAATATAACAACGCTTTTGCCGCATCGATAACAATAGTAAAAACACTTACGAGTGGTATTAGGCAATCCTGGACCTACACTGACATGAAGAGTCTTCCCCTTCGATGTGGTTTTGGTCGCATCCCCTATGCCGGGTTCCTGAGAGAACATAACATTTCGAGTACCACCTCCAAATCGACTCTTCTTCAGTATTATAGTAAAAGACGATCGGAACTCAATAGGAAGAACAGCGCCATTCATGACATCCTTGTACTTCTTACTGAAGTTACCAAGTGTTAAGAAGGATGGAGAAAAAATAAAAACATGCTAGAGCAAATGATACCTTGTAATTTTCATAAATTACATAACAAATAGCCTCAACAATTTTCATCCAGGCAAAAAAAGCTTGAATTCCATTATTCTCTTGAAGCTGAGCTAGTCAAGAGAAAGACTGTCAAGAAATGTGGTAGTTAAGCTAGAACAACAAAAATGTATTACCTCGCAGCAGTTATGAACTCGGTTTTCAACGGAGTTTCTAGTAATGACGTGTGCGAATCACGGACAGCGATGGCAAGAAAATTATCTTGAAATGGACTTAAGCTAATCGACTCTATTTCTGCATATCCCAGATCCCTTTTCACAACCTGCATATATGAATTACTAATACGATTGTCTGAAATTTCGAGAAACAACTAGATTAAAGAAGCCCTCGTGAAACATTCTAGTAGAGGAACTTAATAATAATAGCAAAGCACACAAACCTCCACCAACTTCCCCTTGTCTTTACCCTTCTTTACCAGTTCCCGACCTATCAACATTATAGCTTTCCCAGTCACAAGAAGATCAAGTTTTGACACCTGAAAGTGCACATACTTACGAGGGTAAAATATATTTTGGTTAAAAACACCAATGCTGAAACAGACTTTTTCAAATCAAAGTCAAACTACGGAAGAATATTCCAGAAACGAACTTTGAAACGGCGATCATACTTATCCACAGTGGCAGCGAATAAAACCCTTTCTTTTTTTCCTGCCAACATCTGGAGTGCAGGAGCATACTCCAACCCGATATAATCTCCAACAAAGCCCCTATTAATTGAATAGCGTCTCCTTTCTTTATGATTAAAGAGCAGGTCACTAGCTTCTTCCTTAAACACTGTTATTAAGCGCAGTCGGAAACCTCGACTATGAACAAAAAATTAAATTTCAACCAGTATTCGAAGAGAAATCTTTGAGCAGACTCAAGAAAAATATTACCAGTCACCCAAGAAAAATTTAATAGAGAATAATTTTTTACAAGTATCACTCTTCCTATAACAGACACTGCTTTGAAAAATTAAGTGAATGACTTTGATTTCGGACGATGCCACAGCCTAACAAAATATCTGAATTAGAAAACTACAAGACTTGCCTTCTTTTTCGAATATTTCTTCCGAGCAATGAAGCGTTTGAAAGCTTTTTGTATAATGCGAGCATATGCGTCATACTTTCTTTCACGCAACTCTTCCAAAAGAAAAAGCTGTAAAAACAAAAATGAGAATCTCCAACAAAATGAACGATGGGCAGAAGAGGGAAATACCGACCGACTCAGGATTTTTAACAAAAATCTTATTTAGCCCCATTTGGTACTGATCGCTTTCCAAGTTAGCAGCTCTGCATACTATCTAAATTAGATTTCATGAACTCAAGGAAAATATGCAGCTTAAAGAAGCAAATGAGCAATTAAATAAATTTCTAAAACTTCTTCAGCAAAACAGGAGGACATGCCTTGCAGCCCTCCTTCGGGTCTCCGTTGAATTTCGGCCATGTTTGCTCACTAAGAAGCGCATAACGAAAAAGAAACTGTTCAAAACGTCTTCTGTAGGCGAAACCAGCACGCCTTACTCTTATATTTTCCTTAAGTCCTAGATACTGGACTTGGTGCAAAACTCTAGAAAAAATAACAAAGTCAGTGATTACAATCCAGTAAGTAACGGCAAACGCTCTTAAATGCTCTTCAGCCATCATAAAATTTTTAAAAATTACCTCTTACTTTCCCAATCATTTGGCCTTTTTGTTTCATTAGGCTTTATGCAGCGAATATAATGCGGAGCACATCTCATTAGCGAATCGATGAGACCGTTAGCTTGCGCCTAGAAAAAACATTTTTTAAAGGTGAATTATGCAGCTCAAGAGCGGCAAGTGTGAAAAAAATTTGGTGGTACTCGAAGAATATTTCTTGATTTACCTTAATTTTTGAGGCGAAACTAGTTGGTATTGATTTTGCACCACTTGAAATCGTTTCAGGGAACAAGCTTTTTATATAAGGTCTAAAAAAATCCATTAAAGGTTCTTTAGCTTTAAAAAGAT